AGAAATTTAGTTCAAAAACTAACACGTGTTACACTATTTAATTGAAACTAAAGTTAGCTAATTACAGTGTAAATAAATATGATAACGCAATGTAACTTTGTAATACCAATGGTACTTTAACTCATCTTTAATTACAGATGATACAGTATATATATTGTTTATGGGAAAAAAAGTAGCTATATCATTTTCATATTACGTTCCATCAGCATTATCTGATAAAGAACCAAAGTCTTATGGCCTCTATTGTTATTTACTCTGTCATTACAAGGCTTTTAAACAGATAAAATCTATCTAAATTATACGCTTGCGTTTGCCTGTCCAGAACTTTTCTTGAAACTTTCTCTACAAATCACATACCATTAGAAAGGCCTTTGCCTGAAGAGTCTGGATTGTACACTAGCTTTTCCATTCAGGAATACCTTACCTGTTCTTTGCACTTTCTCATGCAATGGGTATGTTACACATATGTCGTTGTCATTACGTGACGATTAGCTTTGATTAGTTTTGATTTGAACTCTAGTTTTTATTTGCAAAGTATTTCACACAAACAACACCTAACCCCCGTGCAATTTCCTGAAAAATTAACATCACACTAAATACAACTTCTATGGGCTTTCTAGACTTACTTACGTTCTGAAATACACGTGCACAGCTCGTTTCAAACCCACCACTTTGTGAACATGCATTTAGACGTTTCTGCATATGCAGCTAAGTTTGCCTTTATTACAACTTTACATTTATTTTACTTTGCAATAATTTAGCTTTGGTTCGTTTCATGAACTGCTATTAACACCTTTTGGATACTTTTTTCTTTACTACACGTTTTATTCTTCAATTTTGTGAGTTTCTCTGTTTGAACTCGAAAAATCGTGTCATACGTTGAATGCTCATAACTATTTCACACTCTGTACACTATTATAAGTACCAGCATTTTACCTTATTGTTTACTTTACGAGTAGTTTTATTAAATAAAGTTACGTCTATGAGTTTGTTTGTCTAACTGGGTAATTTTATTTTCAAATACACTAGAATTTATCGACCTAATACATAATCCCTGCGGCTCGGCATGGCCAGGTGGTTAGGGTGCTCGACTCACAATCTGAGGGTCGCGGGTTCGAATCCCCGTCACACTAAACATGCTCGTGGGGGCGTTATAATGTGACGGTCAATCCCACTATTCGTTGGTAAAAGAGTAGCCCAAGAGTTGGCGGTGGGTAGTGATGACTAGCTGCTTTCCTTCTAGTCTTTCACTGCTAAATTAGGGACGGATGGCGCAGATAGCCCTCGTGTAGCTTTGCGCGAAATTCAAAACAAACAAACATACATATTATTTGCAAGAAAGCGTGCGTGCAAATGATAGAATAAGGAAAATTCAAACGAAGGCCATGAAAAACTACCGCAAATGTTTTGCGGGTCATGGCTAGTTACTTTATAATATTTTTGCCTGAGATCAAATTGTTTCCATCTAAACAATTGTTTTTATCACCAAATCGGACGAAAAGGTTTTAATATTATCCACACACAAACAGTTTGAATTTATCAGCATCTAAGCTGGGTCTTTTAGAACATATTATTTTTTAACTGCAGAAAATTATTTATTTTTTATATTATCATTTTTTGTTTCAATGTATTACATGCACCATTTGCTAAATTTGTTGACACTTGTGAATAAACTGATAAACTGTATAAGAATCGTAACAATAGAATTTCCTCTTCATCAGTTAGGGCTGAGATTTTTATTCTTAATGAAGGTTACAAAATTCCCGAATGTAATGACGAAGTCACAAAAAATTGCTGGCCGATGTTCATGTACCTAACGATACTCAAGTCGTGGTTGTTACATGATTCAAACTGTTTGAATCACATATGTTTTCGACGTTATTTAATCGTAGTTATATCTACATTTAATACATAGTTCAATAAAAGCTAGGAGGCTATTTTGTGTGTCAGAAAGGTTAGACGGATTTTTCAAATATCGAATAAAGGAGCAGGAAGTAACTTTTAGTTTAAACTGAATTTAGCTTTATTCTTCACGATAGCGAAGACATTATTTCTTCATTTTCTGTATAATTTTAATTTTATAAACGTACATTGACTTGATAAAAAATACTGCAACCTCGCATTATGTTAGAGATATCACGTTTGTATGACCTGTTGGTTAGAGTGGTCGACTTGTAATCTGTCCTTCGCGAGTTCGAATCCAGTTATCGAACATACTGCCCGTTTCAGTCGTTAGAAAGTTATAATATGGCGGTTAATCCCACCTTTCGTGGGTAGTGTTCTTTTTTGTTTCATCTTTGATTGAGAAGGAGACCAAGAAATTATTTAATACAGACAAGATGTTGAATTTACAAAAAAGGAAAAATATAAAATCGATATTTGTGCCCCCTAGTTTTACTATTATCACTGTTAAGTATTTTAAAAAATGATGCATCAACACTACCAATTCCCTTTACAATCTTAAACACCTGAATGAGATCCCCTCTAACTCTTATTTTTTCAAGGGAAAACATTTTGAGAGATTTGAACCTCTCTTGTATGACAACCCCTTCATCACAGGCACCATTTTAGTAACCCTTCTCTGAACCCTTTCCAGTAAGGAGCCCAAGACTGAACACAATACTCCAAATGTGACCCAACCAGTGACCCCTACAATTAAATTATAACCTCTTGAGACTTGTATTTAATATTTCTGTAGATAGAACCTCAAATCCTATTTGCCCTATTTGCACACTGATTGGATGGTTCAAGAGACTGATCAACCATTACACCAAGATTCCTTTCTTTCATGACACTCTTAAGGTCATTCCCATCCAAATTATACTTATAATTCAAATTATGACAACCCACATGCATTATCTTGCATATATTATAATTAAAACCCACCTTCCTTTTATTTGACCAACTCACTAAAAGTTCTAAATCCTTTTGTAAAGCAGCAGCATCCTCTTCAC